TTGCGTAGCGGCGGCAGTCTCGCCGGAGACGATCAGAGATTTGAGGTCCGAGAAGAGGGCGGAGATGCGGCGGAGAAGAGAGGGGTCCATAACTTGGCCCCCCTCTGCTATGGTTAGGGTATCGGAAGGAAAACCATCCATGCGTTCCCATGGGAAGAAGGACTCGCCGTCCTTCTCTCGGCGGTCCGGGATTAGAGCTCCGGCTTTCCTAGCGATTTCGTAGACTGGACTCCTTTCAATGCCGTGAATCCAAGTGGCGCCCATCTCGACACAAGCGCCGGAGAACTCAGAGGTGAGGATGCGGCCGCCGATTCGGTCGCCTGCCTCAACAACAACCAGGTCGAGGAAATCGCCGGCGCAGACGTGGAGACGCCGCGCGGCGGCTAGGCCAGCCATTCCGGCTCCGACGATCACCACTTTCGGCTTCTTGCAGTCTACCTCTCCCATCTCTCTCTTTCTCGCCAAGCTAGAAGTGCAGCAGTAGCCTGAGAGCTGGAGAATGAGGACGAACTCTGCTTATGAAGAGCACAGTGGGTCTTTTGCTCTGTTGTAGGTTTTTATGATGCGATATTTGGTAAAAGGGGGACAGATGAGTTCTCTTTTTTACTAAATTGTAAATGTTTTGGGGGTTATTGGTGAATGATATCATCGATATGCCGTATCTTTTCTGATTTATCATTGTTTGCTGAAAATCCAATTCAGAAAGTCTTTTAATAATGATTTCTTGATTCGGCAGAAAGGCAGACAACGGTCATGTTCTTTTGCTTGGGCTGCTCGAGTCAAAAGTTGGTATGTTAGACTGTACACCTTATGACTAGTAGATGTTCATATGTGCCCAATTACTGTGCTTATTGTGACTTCAGATTTTATCTGCTGAGATTTTAGCACTTGCACTTTAATGAGTAGTATACAACTGTAGCAATAAAAAATATTTATCCTACTAAATAGGATCGGCTAAATGAATCATTTTTCTTCATTACATCCTATTGAGTCTCATATTTATATCTAAGGGCCCATTTGGGGCAGCTTATTTCGTGCAATTGCGTTTTGAAAATGCACATTGTCTGTTTGGGTAAACTGCATTTTGACAGCTTATGCTTTTTCAAAACGCATAAAACAATGTTTTCATACCGCACCTATCTTATCTGCAGATTATTTTTAATCAGCTTATCAGCATATTATTCAATAAGCTACAGCTGTCCCAAACAGACCCTAAGTATGTTTAATATGAACAAATCACGCTTGAATGAGTAATATAATAGTTAAAAGCAAATTGGAGAAACTTAGTGTCTTAAATTAGAAAACTAATTGTATCTTAAAAAAAAAGAAAAAAAAAAAGGCTATTATGATTGAGTGTCAATGAATTAATTAATTTCTTCATTTATCGAGTGATTAATTTTTAAAAGAAAGTTATTTGTGTTTCACACTAACAATCAATCTTAGAAGAAAATTTGATTATATTGATTTGGAGTCGTATTTAGCTTCTTTTTTTTTCTCAAATCAATCCTAAATCTAAATAGCTACGTAAATCACATAAACTTGGCTTAATTAGGATCAAATCAACTCATCTTATAGCCACGCTTTGCTCAAATGAAGATTTGACCATTTTACTTCATGTTTAAATTAGGGCAATATATGATTGTTCATTCTCCTAAATAGAAACAAGTTATACAAGAATTTTTTCTAGTCTAATTATTAATATAACAAAATAAAAACAATTTTTGTTGAAGGAATATGCATTAGCAATCTAAAAATGCATTAGCAACATTATTGTAAAAATGATTTGTCAACATTATCTCATATAGTGGTGTAGCTAAGGTCAAATTGCCACATAACTTATGGTCAACATGATAAATGGCCCATGAGTTGAGCTTGATAATTTAACAGAGCATATTTAAGCTAATTTTGATTTGACTCTTTAGCTCACAAGCCTGTTCATCTTAAGAATATGAATATGAAATGCACTTTAAAGTATAAAGATCACATGTTTGATTATGAAATTAATTAAAAATTATATTTATTTTCATTATCTCATTGAGTTTCTTATTGTTTCTACTTTATTTTATTATTTTTAATTTTCTTATAAACACATTATAACAATGATTTGAAGTTTGAAAATATTGTTTAATAATAAAAGTTTAGATTCTAAATGATTGAATTAAGTTTGAAGTTAAACTCATACTTGATTAATTAACCAAGCTCATGTTGGGGCTTACTCGAGCTTGAATTAGCTCAACTTTACCAATGATATCATCCTCACTGAATGCTACTTTGCTATTCATGATAAGAAAAAGGCATATGCTATTGCATAATTTTCATGACTTGAGCGTGATGAGCTAATGAACCATGCATTGGACACGTTAATTTATGAACTAGCACATTTAAAAAATATATATTAATATAAAATACGCTTGAAATTTTATTAGAATGAATTATTACATGTAAAATTTTTAAAAATATATTTTACTTTTTTTATCTCATTCAATTTTTTTTTATATATAATTTTACTACAACAATTGTATGATGCATCAGTAGACTTCTCTCTTTTATAATAAATATGTTTACTAGTGGTCAAAATCTAACTCATACAATTAAATTTTGATTTTAAGTTATTAGTCAAACTCACTCAAATTAAATCAATTTCATCAATGATAAACAACCCATAGAAAGTGGCTATAACGTTCTTGAAAAGGAAAAAGCATGCCATTGTATGATTTAATTTAGCAAAATAAGTAATTGAGTTATGCTTGACCTAACTTAGACTTAACTCATTAGCTTGTGAGTTAGTTTATTTAAAAAAAATTAATATAAACTACACTTTAAGAACTATCAATGAGATATACTTGACCCATTATCAAATTGACTACACTTTTTGGCATCCAAAAATTGTAAAGCATGAAATTAATTTAGTCTCACTTGATCCACTAATATAGAGCTTCGATAAGATGGAAATTTTTATGTTGGTGTCTGTCAAATACATATGCACGAATCTCGAAGAAATTTAATGGGCTAAGAGACAAAAAAAACGATCAAGAATGATTAACAAAGGTAGGACCCGATGTTAGAAGACTACATAATCTAACTAATCAACTACGGTTCTTCTTTGTTAGGCCTTGAAGCTGGCCGAACAAAGGCCACCCAAGACGGAGATCAAAATTCATTTTGTCAAGTGAGATCATCATTCTAACCCTCACCTTAACACTATCAGTCGCCTTATGAGAACTCCCAAAGACTCATGAATCTGAAGGCTCTCATTAAGATATATTCCACAAGTACTCCATATGAACCTCCAGTAAAGAGGTGAATGATTTGTCAGATTATGGTGATTCATCCTCTACCCGACGGCCTAGACTCGTTCCGAATAGGTGTGCCTCATTAGAGGAGTCGACAATTAACAACCAGACCGAAGTGGTCGACCGACTAATTCAAGCCAACTGAGTGAAGATCTGGACGACCAAAATACAACTAAAGTTGATTGATTGACTTAAATCAACAGAGCTGACCCAACAAACCTTGTTGACCCAAGGACTACCGATCTGAATCAACATAATGATATCGTAGTCGAGCCACCTGCTCATTTATCTTATACTTGAAATACCCTATAATGCCCATTGTATGTAATTATACATTTGATATCTCTAAATATGTAATCATTTCTATATTAAATGACTAATCATTAATTGTTAAGAGAACTATTAGTTATATCTGTAAACAATTACAATATAATGACGAGCCTAAAGAAAAACAGCATAAAAATAGTAAAATAATTATACTAACTAAAAAATAATTTAAAAATAAGAAAACCGATTCATTATATATTGATGATGATAGTTATTGAAAATCTAAATGATGAAATTATTTTTTTTAAGTATTCCATTATTAAAACAATTCGTAGGGCTCTCCAAAAAAATATTTGGCAATCTCTGACATAAATATCATTGTGATTTCTTCACATATTGCTAACATACACATAGACATAGTAGGTAAATTAGTAAAATAATAATAATAAAGTAACCAGCAAATATTCATAATATTTTAATGTCCCCAAAACGCTGGTTAAATAGCTGGACCTACGGACAAATACTTGCAGTCAAAAGAGCTACTCCCTATGGTCCCAGAATCACTAATTTTTTATTGCAAGTGGCCTTCAAAAAGCCACAATTCCCGCACCTGCTGGCTGCTTTAAAGATTAAACAAGGTAGTTGAGGTCATAAACTTTGCGTGGAAAATATGTAGTTTTGTGGCTTCTATGCTATTCGAGGATCTTATCAACCTGAAGAAAAAAAAAATGACATGAAAATAAAAAAAATCAAAAAATAATATTTATTTATTCAATTTTTATATTTTTTAATTTTATTAATAAAATACAAGAGACATGCTTTCAAAATATAAAATATATAAAAAATTATATTTTTGTTGTTTCAAAAACATATTTTTCGAGTGACGCCTTAAAACTTTAAATTGACTTCATCAGTATAGGCCGAAATTAACATAACAAAATTAAGTCATTAATCCACTAATTAACTTGTAAACTTGCTTAATTAACTTATTAATACTTAATTCAACCAATTTTTAAATTACTTAATTAAACAAATTATCATCTAATTAAATTATTAATTATTGAAATGGAACTTAAATGAATTTAATTAACTCATAATTACTCCATTTAATAAGAAATATATTTAATTAACGTAATAATCAATCAATTAAGCCCATAATAATTCCAACACAATATTATTCATTTAGTTAAGTTAATAATAATAAAATTAAAAACTTAAATTATTTAAACCTAAAGTTAAATATATAAATAGCTAAATAAAATAGTAAACAACTTAGTCAAAATACTAATTAAAAATGAATTAAATATTTAATTGAATTAATTGAAATTTTGATTAATCCTTAAAATTCACCAAAAAATTAATTAACTCATAATTACTCAATTCAATAAAAAAAATATAATTAATTAAATTAATAATTGGTCAAGTAAAATATTAATCATTTTGTTACGTTAATAACAATAAAATTAAAATCTTAAATTATATAAACATATCATTAAATATATAAATAATTAAATAAAACGTTGAACAACTTAATTAAATATTTAATTAAATTAATTAAAATTTTGATTAATTCATAAAGCTCACAAAAAAATTAATTAACTCATAATTACTCAATTTAATAATAAATCTACTTAATTAACTTAATAATTAATCAAATAAACCCATAATAATTCAAATAAAATATTTCACTTAATTAAGTTAGAAATAATAAATTTAAAACTCTAAATAAATAATTAAATAAAATATTAAACAACTTAATTATAGTATTAATTAATGAATTAATAAAATATTTAATTAAATTAGTTGAAATTTTGATTAATACATAAAATTCACCAAAAATTTAATATTTAAATATTTTGATAAATAAAATAATTAACTAAATACTTTCAATAGTTCACCAATAAAAAAATTAACATATTAAATTATTAAATTAATTAACATATTAGTAGTTAAATAATTACATTAATTAGCATATTATTAGTTTTTAAATAAATAATTTCAAATAATTAGCATACTAATAGTTATTAAAATTTAATTAATTTTTTTTAAAAATATAGTTTTTTCTTTAAAAAAATAGGAAATACACAACCAAAAATATTTTATATTTTTTTTATTTTTTAAAGTATATAAAAAATAAAAGTACCAAACCTTTTTTTCTAAAAATAAAAAATATAAAACAAAATAAAAATAAAACAGATTGAAAAAAAAAAAAAAAAAAAAAAATAAAAAAGGATCAAACAAGACCTTAATCATTTGATGATTTGCAAATATAA